CCCACATCTCTCCCCTTCACACCATCCACTGAAGCCTAGGTTTGGACAAACAGGAATTGGTCTTTCACACATCCTGAGCACTTCAAGTCCTATTGAAACTGAAATAATGGCGATGGTCCTAGCATCTCATCCCAGCACTTTATRCTGTGTAACAGCATAAAGGCACCTGTCTCTGGAGAGGACTGGGAACTGTTAATGTCAGCCAGAGATCGCTAAAAGCAGGTCACATCAGCCACGGATGTCAGAACAGAGAAATGTCAGAGACATTTCCCATGGGGTAACATTTCTTTATTTCCCATGGAGCAGCTTTGGCAGCTCCCTCCGTGCTCAGAAGATGGGCACTTGTAAGCCTCCCCACTGGAGACCTCTGCAGGTTAAATGCCGAGTCCTGGTACCTGAAGGGATGTGTGGCTTTCACTGCTGAACTGTGAGCCTGACCAAGCTGTGGACGTTACATTCTGTTGTGCTATGCCTACATTATGTATGGCCAACATTGCCACTATTTTACTTTAATATTTTTAGTTTCCTTATGTCACTATTTKACTTCGATATTTTTAGCTTTCTGATATCCATCTATCACTGAATTGAAAGAGTTAATTTGAAAGGAAGAAAACATTAGGTACAGAACATACTTTGAACAAAAATTCAGAAGAGGGAACAAAAGGGGTAATGATTCTAAACTGAAAGAGAATAGGTTTAGACAGTATTTAAAGAAGCAGATTTTTACAATGAGAATGGTCAAACACTGGCACAGCCTGCCCAGAGAAATGGGAGGTGCCCCATCCCAGGAAACTCAAGGTCAGCTTGGATGGGGCTCTGAGTAATCTGATTTAATTGAAGATGTCCCTGCTCATTGTAGCAGAATGTACTAGGTGACCTTTAACAGCGCCTTCCAGTCCAAACCATTCTATGATTCCTTAGTTCTATGTTAAGTTGTGGTGAYCAAGAGCTCCCTCTCGTGTGATACAGAAAGAGCAGCAAGTCCGTGTCTCCACGGCTCTCGCCTCACGTCTGCAAGTAAAAACTTTTTCCAACATTTGCAGTCATGTTGAGTTCATTACCTTGTCTGAAAAGAAAAAAAACAAACTAAAAAAACCACCATRGAAGGGACATTTTGAAACTAATTCTTATCCACTTGATCTTCTTATGTACAAATATATTTTTAAAAGAGGTTGAAAATCCAAGGATTGTATTTATATGGTTCACAAATCCTTCTTGTCAATAAGATTCCGGACTCTGCAAGAGTGAATGTGGGGTGTTTCAGATGGTATCGGGGTCACAACTTCCCCAATAATCTCCCTTCTTCTAATTCCTTGCACAGGAGTTAGAACCAGCTACAGCTCTCAGYCTGTTCCTCTGCGAAGCTGTACATGTGGAAATACTTAATTTTGTAATTATTTAATTAAGCACTAATTTAAATGCTTAATTTTGGCTGCACCTAAATTTGGTTTTCATCTAAAATATTTACTCAAATGTGTTTTTTTCTTGGTGTGTTCTGTTTGAATGTGTTCGGGCTTTTATGTCAACTAACATGAGCATAGAAAATAGTGCTTTTTTGAACAAGCTCATTTCTTGTTCACTGCAGTTTTGAAAACATGAGAACAGAGGTTAGAAAATGCACTGAACCCTGAAAAAAAGGATAAATTCAAGCAGTTTTAAGGTCTGGTGACTTTTTTTTTTCCTCCACAGCATGACTTTGCACAAATCACATTGAAACAGTGCGATAAAAATGTCTTAGTATTCTTGACTGCCCTTCAAGTGTTTTTTGCAGGTGCCAGAATTATTCAAGACTGCTTTTTAAAGCACAAAGGATGGTGAAAATAAAGATCAATTTGTATTTTAGCCTGTCTGGTTTATTTTAGTAATTTTAGCCTATCCAAAACTAAGCACTACTCTGGGAAGTAAAGAGGAATTAGTACCTTGATATCAAGGTCTGTTGTTTATATAAAATCTGCCAAAGCAAGCTCAYAGCAAAGGCTTTTAAAGCTGAGGTACTTTACATGGGGAAACTTTACCATTTTAGGTAGTTGGAGTAGCAAGATAAAGTGTACTGTGGAATGTGCTTTTAAAATTAAAATTATAAAGTGGATTTTTTTAACTGTTGCACACAATTAGATTTCTGGGAAAATGCTAAAGGACTGTAAAGGTGAAGAATAGCTTTTTTCCTGTTTTACTATTCAAAGAACAGGAGATGTTGTTTCAGTCGTAAGACCTTGTTTTATGTGTCCAAAATTGCATCCATACCTACAACCTCTAACACAGGTAAAAGATCTCTAACTACCTCAGAAGAAAAATCAGAGATTTCATTCAGCTCCTGAAGCAGAGAAGAAATACAAACACCTGCACATCCTCTATTTTGCAGATTCCTTTGGACTTTCTRCGTGGGTTCCATGTTTTTGAAGGAATGAGAACTGCTTGTACAACTATGATTGATTAGCAGTCTTCAGAAGAGCCTGTTTTAACTTCTGCATAAGAAACATGTATCATTTGACTATTTCAGTTTTCCACAGACAGAAATTGGCAACATTCACTCACAAATCAAAACAACCAATGTAAAAATAAAATGAATCCTTGGGTTTTTTCCTAGTCTCTGACTTTACACATAAGGTAAGAAGTATCATTAATAATAAAGTCCTGTATCCACGCATGCATGTATGGGGAAAGTTGTAATACAGAATTCTGCTCGCAAATATTATGTCATAATAGAGAAAAAAAATCGTTAAGATTTTTCTCAGGCAAGAACTATGCCTGAGAGCACCTGAAATCAAGTCTCACCCTTCTGAAACAGACTGTCTAGCAGGAAAAGAAAACTCTTCATATGACTCCCTCTAAAATATATTAATTGAATTTATTATTATATTTATTAAACTTATTTCAGTTTCAAGCTGCAAAAAAGGTACTGAAATTCACAAGCAGTTCATATTGCTAGTAGCTCATTCTCAATTACTATAATGATTGCTACATACTTAAAACAATTACACCTTAACACATCTACACCATATGAACTGCAAGCACAAAACACAGTAAAAGTGATGCCATACAGTCAGYGCTGACAGCTCTGCTCCTTGGTGGTCCTTAGTCACCAGGGTTTAAGGGGACCAGGCTCGAGAGCTTCTTGTGAGCAGTTTGCCTTCTCCACTCAGTTGGTGTTTTATAGTCTCTGACCCCAATCCAAATGGAAAAGGATGTTATCTCATGTCTTCTTCCTGACTAATTTTGGGGGTTGGGACATCTGGGTTTTTGCTTATTCAGCAGGTGCTACCAGTCTCCTTTCTTGCCTGCTCTGTATCATTCCCCTTCTGTTTTGTTGTCTGATTATTTGGTGATATATTTCCAATTGTTATTTCTTAAGCAAGCTTATTTTTGACCATTAAGTGAGACTTTAAGAAAACAGCTGGAAAGAATAAACTAGGAAACTGTACACGATCACTTCAATTGCTGTGAAAAATCACAGAGTTGGTCCTCCTGAAATGTATTTCTTGCCATATGATGGGGAAGATGATTAGGTGATACAGTTCCTACAAGCCCGTACGCACTGATTTAAGTAAATCGACTGGAGCTACATCATACGACCCAGATATATAACCTGCTTTTGAGCTGTCTCAGCTGTCAGCCAGCCCTTACATGCAAWCTAAAATGAAAGTGTGTTTACATTAAACTGTTTTTAAATGAAAACAGCATATATCTGGTATTAATTGTAGATGGATAATGTCTGCCTCAGCTGTAGGGTGCATACTTGGTAAAGCATCTGCCATCTCACTTTAATCCACACCTGCATATCTATTAGAGCCTTCAACACACAAATTTTGGGTACCTCTGTCTTGTGAAATCCACAGTCCTCAGACTGATGCCCAAAGTTTCTTACACAGTGCTAAGGATTTAAATCATGTGTTTCACAAGCTAACACAGGACTTCTGTCTTCAAGGCTAGATCATTATGACGCAGCATCCCAGCGTGGTGCTGCTTCTAGCAATAGGTGTTTCATACAGGTTCAGCCCCTCTTCCAGAGGAGAGGAATGGGTGACCAGACCTACTATGTTACAAACTCGTGGGAGATTGTAACCTGTTACAATTGAGCCAGGGAGGTTGGAATTGAGTTTTCCTTTTCCTATTCCACCTGATTTGCCACAGAACCTAATATAGTAAGAATGGATGGTATCTTTGATTTATTCTTTTGAATTTGTAAAAATAAGGGAGAAAGGCTCAGAGTGTTGGGGCTGTTCARCCTGGAGAAGTGAACGTTTTGTGGGGACCTCATAGCAACCTTGCAGTATTTGAACGAGGCCTACCAGGAAACTGGAGAGCAACTCTTCATCAGGATCTGTAACAGAAGGACTAATGGGTACAAATGAAAGAGGGGAAACCTAGGTTAGATATGAGGAAGAAATTCTTTACTGTGAGGGTGATGAGACACTGGCGCAGGTTGCCCAGGGAGGGTGGGGATACCCCAAWCTTAGCAGTGTAGAAGGCCAGCTTGGAYGGGGCTCTGAGTTGGAAGTGTCCCTGCCCATGGCAGGTGGGTTGGGAWTCGCTGCTCTTGAAGGTCCCTTCCAACACTGAACACTCTCAGATTCCATGAATCCGTTTACTGGAATAGGATGGAGAAGCCGACATTCTTGCAGTCAAAGTGAACACTTTGATCGATGTTTTATATCTCTGTTTATTCATTCATCTCTTATTCATTCATCTCTTATTCATTCTCTGCAATGAACGCTTATGGATCTGCGAAGTGGAACTCTCCAGGCCCCTCCCTGTGAGTGCCGCTTCTCTGAGGGCACCCAGGCCCTCAGGTAGGTGCGCTCGGCCACAAGAGCCCGACATTTGCAGCTTTAGGGCGCCGTCACGAAACTTAATCCACGGATAATGGCGCTGAGCAGACAAAAAACCGCCAGCCCGGCCACGACGGAGACAGGGCGCGTCCACAGCCGCCCGATGCGCCGCTTGCCCGCCCCCTTCCCGCCCGATTCCGCCCCCTTCCCGCCCGATTCCGCCCCCTTCCCGAGGGACACACGGCCCGGAAGCGCTCCGGGAAGGCGCTGCCGCCGCGCGGGCGTTTCCGGGTGCCGCCTCTCGTCCCCTCGCCACGCCGCATCCCGCCCGCAGCGCCCTCAGCCCCGCAGCCCCGCAGCCCCGAGCCGCTCCGCGCTCTCCTCGCCTCTCTCCGTGCCCTCGATGTCGCCGCGGGGTTCCCGGGGGCCGCTGCCGCCCTTGCTGCTGGTGTGGGCGCTGGCGGCCTGCGCGGCGCGGGCCTCGGAGATCACGTTCGAGCTGCCCGACAACGCCAAGCAGTGCTTCTACGAGGAGATCGCCCAGGGCACCAAGTGCACCCTCGAGTTCCAGGTACGCGGGCGGGAGGAGCCGTCCCGGGCGTGGCGCCGCGCTGGCCGGGCTGGGCCGCGGCCCCGAGCCCCGAGCCCCGRGCCCAGGCCGCTGCCGGGGCGCTCTCACTCAGCCTTCCCATCGCGGGTATTTGGGAGCAGCGCCCGGCATGGGAGCAGCGGCTGGATCCAATGAGGGGCCTCCAGCTCGGCTAAGGAGATCTCTGCAGAAGCGTTTGGGAAGCTTCCGTGTAGTGCAGGGCTGAGTGGGACACCGAGTTGTCCCTGAAAATTGGCACTGTCTGTACGCTGGTCGCTGCCATGAAGCGCCCCACCTGAACAGCGCAAAGAACACTTGACCAACAAGGTGCCACAGAAGAAATTTCCTAGTGGTTTGTGAAGCATCGACAGGATGAGCACAACACATCTTAAGAACWAATGCATTCAGAGTGCAGTTCAGATTTGTGTTGCAAAGTAAACCGTAAAAGGGTGATGGGACAAGGCTACAGCATCACTGTTTGGGTGCCTCTGAGTGTATTAGCAGGATTCAGTCATTAGTACTGTCCYTTCAGTAGATGAAGTTAGTACAGCAGTAGCATGAGAGAAAAGTCATCCCAGGTGACAGAAATCAGTTATCTTTGGGGTTTTTGAAAGGACTAATTTTTATGGGCTGACTTTTCTTGCTGAAGTCCTGTGTTTACTAATTTCTGAGTTGCTGTCACAACTCAAGGATATTTGGGGAACGTTGCTGCTGTGTATCAGTCCTTTTTACTCTGTCCTRTGTGTTTTAGGTCTTGGATATCTTTTTCCCTACCCAAATATTTCTTGTCCCTGATTGTTTCTTCCATAAAGTCTTTTCTGTGCAGTACTTTCCCCCACCCACTTTTTGAAGTGGACATCACGACAGATAAACTTGCTGTTTCCACTTTTGTTGGAGACCAGAACAGGATTAGCACCACTAAAAGAAAAGTCTGGATTTGACCAGCAACTGACAGGCTGAAGTGCTATGTGAATGTCCTTTGGCAGTATGTCTCAAGGGCTTGACAGGAGGCACAGGCAAGTTCCACAAGAGGCAAGGAATCCTAGGGGAACTTAAAAGCTTTGGCGTGTTTACCACCTCTATGTAAACCAGCATTTTCAGGATATCTGTGTGACTGAATTCAAGTGACTTCCATGTAACTGATAAAGTGCTCACCCTTATCAAATCGTACATCGTATTTCAGAAATGAGGACCTATGTTACTGCTTGCCAACCRGATACTTTTAAAACTTTGCCTTGGTGGAGGAGCTGCTGCTCTAATCTGTTGTTATTTCAGTTGTACCACTAATATCATCGTTTTAATAACCTGGTTCTTCAGTAAACTGATGACCATTTAGACAATGCCATGTGGACTGAAGTGCTGATACACAAATACTAAAATACTTAAATGATTTCTGCACTCATGTGAAGTAAGTCTCTTCCTCCTTCAGCATACTTTATCTTCAAAGTAAAAAGCTAGTAGCAAGGATAATGAGTAAAACTGGTACGGTRAAAGTAATCAGAATACCATGCTGTGAATACTTAAAGGCCTGCTCAGTCTTTCTGTAGAATCGAGGTAGCAATACACTGTAGACCAACAGTAATTAAAGCCTCAATAACCCCCTTGGGACAATAACGAAGTTTTAAATTGGTTGCAGGCATTATCCAGATGTGCTGGTTTTTTTTAAGAACTSCAGTGTCTTAACTGTGTAGGAGGGAGGCAGCAGGTCCCCCAGARCACTGCTCTGTTAACAGAAGCAGACAGGAAGACTGGACAGATTGAAATTCCTGTTCTGCTGGTCAAACACCATTCCTGCARCCTAACACAGCTGATCTAGTAGGGCAGTTACCCTTGTCCTGGCCACACAGGAAGGAGGTGTCCTTCTGCATGTTAGCAGTCTCAGCTGGATGAATCCAGTTCCATGGAGGACTTTTGTATACAGCAAACTATCAGACTCATTAGTAATCTCCCAGTGAGTTTCATCTACTGTAGCCTTTGTTGTTGTGCAGTTATGAATAACAAAGTAACTAAGATTGCTCTCTTAAAAGGTTTGAAAATACAGTTGACATTGCATATGCTGAACCTTAAGCATTTTTAATTATTTTCTGTGTGTTGTCCATAGAAAATAACTTTGTGTTCTTGCTTAGAAAGATTCTCAAAGGAAAGCATTATATTTTAAAGCATTTTTGAAAGCAAAAAGCTTTGCAGTTCCATTTGATAGAAAAAAAAAGATATAAATGTCCATTTTTTGTAAGAGACTGTTTCATGGTTTTTGTTTGCAGGTGATCACTGGAGGTCATTATGATGTTGATTGTCGGCTGGAAGATCCTGATGGCGTTGTACTTTACAAAGAGATGAAGAAACAATATGACAGCTTCACATTTACTGCGTCCAGAAATGGAACATACAAGTTCTGCTTCAGCAATGAGTTCTCTACTTTCACACACAAAACTGTGTACTTCGATTTCCAGGTTGGAGAAGATCCCCCACTGTTCCCTAGTGAGAACAGAGTAACTGCACTTACCCAGGTAAAACACTGTTGTATTTGACAAAAGCTGTTACGTGAAGTCAATTTTTTCTTCAAATTCAGCTGCATTAGTTCAAAACATCACTTTTGAAAATAAACTAATTGAAGCTCTTAGAAGACTCTGGGTTGCTACAAGTAGGTTAAGATTTGTAGAACACAAAAAGCAGCTGAGMAGGAATCACCAAATGTTTAAGAGGAAATTAAGACAGTAGCTTAAACTTTAGGCCACTGTTATTTGGGATTTTGTTGTTTTGGTGGTTTTTGTTTGGGATTTTGTTTGAGTTTTGGTTTTTGGTTTTTTTTTTTTCTGTTTGGTGGTGGGGTTTTTCTGAAGTTTCTAAGGAAACTTCCTTTTAATGACACGATTGTGTGCCTCTTGGTGTGTGGATTTCGTAAACTAATTGGTGGAGTAGAGTTTAAGARATTTCCAAACTCGAGAAACTGTGGGAATCATTTCTGCCTTTAAAACAGTAGAGTCTTTTTTTAGAAGAAGGACTCATGTAACTACTATTTTTTAAAATGGGGAAGGAAATTCTAACAAAATGAATGACAGCTTTTTTATCTGACTTCTAGATATTTGAGCTTTGTAAGTCTACAAAGTGTCAAGAGCATCATCATTATTATATTTTTCAGGATTTTACAGTTCTGTACCTCTACAGAATCTAAAGATATTAAAACTTTCTTTGGAACACTTGAATTCCTGCCCACGTCCTTATATTTTAACCATCACCAAACCTTGCTTTAGGCAGCCATTTAAGAATGCTGGTTATGGTCACTGTTTTGATTATCTAACCTCAGCGGTATAAATACCACTTGCAAATGCCAATTTCTTTTGAATTTACATCACATAAGTCCACAGTAATTGAGGTGTCTAATAAGTAGGTGATCTGCTGTGGATTCGACTACAGCTCTTCTCTCTTTCTTCTTGTCAGCTTCTTGTATTGCTTCCTTTTGTGTTCTGATTCTTGACACTGTATCTCTTAATTTCTTTTCCTTATTTCTTAGTTGAGAAGGTTTCTTTTGCAGTTCTGGTCAGGCTTGTGGCATGACCAAATTTGGGCAGCCTTTCACAGGGACAGTTAAAGGTAAATCCCTAAAACCTGAGTGACTTTGTATTTAAATCCCTTGTCCAGATTAGGAGTTTTCTACAATTTACCAGTAGCAAAACTTAGTTTAGAAAAACTCTACCTGAATTTCATTCTGAATATTATCTGACATTGATGAAAGTCATCAACTTGAAAATATGGTTAGACACACATAAAAGTGACTGAGAGCAGCCCTGTAAGGGTGTTAAATGTTTCCTTTTATAATAATCTGTGCTGTCCAATCTTCAGGAAATATTAATTCTAAGCCATTAAAGAGAAACCTAAATTGTGATTAGAAAATAAGTACTTTGAAGATCTGTTACYTAATCTCTTGATCAAAATACAATGAGAGGAGTACTTTTACTTACAAAAGATAAACTGAAAGTGGAAGAAGTTTATATAAAAAATTATCTAGAGCTTGGAGAACTAATAATGCTTTAATGAAAAATTACAATGAAATTGGGCAAGTTGGTAAGTATTTTTATATGAGTATGGTAATGAGTGTTCGGGAGCATTGAAGGATAACACTTRTCCCTTCTCTAACCACTTTTTGTATATATGACTAAGAAAATGGTCTTTTGACAATAAAACAGATATTGTACAAGTTGAATGAGAATTAAGCAAATGAAGAATGAAATAWTTGTGGAACAGAAGCATTTAATATATGCTGTGGCCTTCTTAATCTTATAAGCAACTGTTTTTTTTCCTGTGGAATTAACATCTGGAAGATCACATTTCAGAAGGAGGACATTTCAGAAGTATTTCTAATGTTCATTTTGAGTCAAACTATGAATTTAGAAGTTGTCCATTAATTCTCAGGGCTCATTCCTTTTTATTAGATCTATGGTTTTATCTTCTGTGTTTAACAGCATGACATTTTTGTGTGTGAAGTTTGATCTGTATTAGTTAAATTTTACTGTATTTACATTCTTTTGATCTGACACTCATCTCAGTTGATTCTTAGCTTGAGAAGTTACTTGACTCCCCATTTTAAATATCAAAGCACAGAACCACTAGAAAGATTGCTAATTCCATGATGTGTATATGTTTGTTTCTCCAGATGGAGTCTGCATGTGTTTCAATTCATGAAGCTCTGAAGTCTGTCATCGATTACCAGACTCACTTCCGCTTGAGAGAAGCACAGGGCCGCAGCAGAGCGGAGGATTTAAACACAAGGGTGGCCTATTGGTCAATAGGGGAAGCAATCATTCTTCTTGTCGTTAGTATCGGGCAGGTATTTCTCCTTAAAAGCTTCTTCTCAGATAAAAGAACCACGACAACACGTGTTGGATCGTAACTGGTAGCGGTAATGCTTCAGGTGTATTACTCATTTAGATTAGTGGTTCTTCAGTTAACTGTAGGTACAGAGGTCTGAATATATGCAACATTCAAATGTGTATACTCCTTATCTCTTAAAAATCACAAAACAGACCCAAAATGTTATAAAAGGGACACATAATTTGAAATATTTTTAAGGATCCCTTGGAATTTCAGTGTTTCAATCCCTGTATTAAAATATCTGGTAATGTCTATTCTCTCTTTGTTTCTACTGATACTAATCCAAACCAAGTTTGATTTTTACCACTATTAGCCATCTCCAGTGTAACACTTTAACCCAACAGTCTCATGTCTGATACGAGAGATGATATACATGAAAATCTCACTTGATTTTAATTTTCAGGCTGAATATCTTGGATTATAAAAAAGAAAATGYGATTAACTGTAGAGCACTGTTTTCATTTGCTTTTTTCAAAAAAATCCAGTCATACCCCTTGCTTATTTGTAAAATTTTTGAAAGCTTGGCACTACATTGTGGTGCAATTCTTCATCAGCCTGGAAAGTCTCCATCTTYAGACTTTGCTGAATTTTATACTTCATTATAATAGTTTAAACACACATTCTTCTGTATTAAAATAAATACATATTCTCTTCTGCAATATTTGGTTTACTGAAGAAATTGTAAGCTGAGACTACTCAGGAAATCCACTTCTGCATACAAAAAAAAAATCCAAATTTCCAAGTTTATGTAAAAAACATGCAGTACAATAGGGAGTCTTGCAACTTTGTCATTGAAACCGTGCAGTACTCGTATATGCTGCTGCTGCTTTTTTGGATTTAAGACCAGAAGTAGCTTGTTTTAGTAAGCAGCACAGCACCAGCACTGGATGAGGTTATATTATGTGTTAGGCGCATACAAAGCTTTTCACTAATTTTTTTCCTGTTAAGAGGGCAGTTTGATATTGATACTGCATTGCGCAAGGGCTGTAGATTTTCCTCTGTGTGGTGCACTGAGACATGACGCCCTTGTGCATCTAATTGCCACTCTATTTTGTTAGTTGTCAGGAAATGTTTTAAATATTTCAGGTTATGTTTTTTTATAGAGTTATTGGAGTTACATTGTTTTCACTGCTCATGTCTTCAGTAGCTATGTACTGTAAATTTCTGTTATATTTGGTGTGGAAAGTAGTAAATGTATGTACATACCCATAGCTTGAATTGAGCTGGTCATAGTAAGGCTAAACTCTTTCAAATGGCTCTGGAAGAAAAAGTAGGCTGACCAATTCTTAAATGCACACAAAATAAACTAAAGTGAAAAATTTGTCATGTGTAACTAGCTAAATCAAAAAATGCTTCTTATACAAGTTCTTGGCAAGCAGAGAAAGACTGCTAAACCCATATTAATTGCCTATATTATTTCTAGGAAAAATTTAAAATTACATATTCAAGTGACACTTGACCACTCCAAAGAATTGATTGAAGATGAYTTGATTTTAAAATCATGTCATGGCTGAAAATAATAAAAGTGCTCCTACTCTGTTGTGAACTGAATGACTACTCTTTTGGAAACAAGGAAAACATCAGAAAGCTCAAAGATTATTTAAAAGGCCATGGAGGTGTTAATTACCTCTAAGTAAAATTTGGCATGTAAAGTTCTGCTGTTCTGTACTGAATTTTGAATGCTACAATCCCATTTTGGGATGCAGGTTCCCTTAAAATAGTTAAACCCACTAATAGGAGAAAACAAAAGAGTCTGCTTTTGTCTTGTGATATAAATCTGTGCCTGCACACAACATTCTTGATTGTACCTCTGTGCTTTCTTCTTGTGTTTCAGCAACTGATATCTAGTACTTTTTGTGCTGAATTACACACAGTAATTAAGCAAGTGGTAYACTTTGGGTTCAAGTGTCAAATGAAAACGATTTGTTTTTGCTAGTGTTCACTATTATTTTCTGGGTTTGAATATTAGTTACGTAGCTTTAATCACAACAAAGGCATTTGTTTTAAGGCTTGAGATGTGTTGAGTTTTTTCCACTGAGTGTTTTGTGTGCTGGCAAAATTGGTAAATAGTGCTATAAAATTGATGATGATCAGCTATTGCATACATGTCTCCTTATTCTTTCCTAATGTTTGAATGTGTAAAGTGGGACTGTTCAATTCAATATTACTCCCACGGCAGAGGTTTAGTGAACTTGACTTTTCCACTGAAGTTAGGTGTCTGAACCAATGCTATGGCATCCTGCTGCATAAATTTGCAGCACCAGCTTAAAAATGCCTTTATTTTTGTGTTGTTAAAAACATGGCACAAATATACATGTTTAAACGTAGCTGTATATAGTTTTTAAAATAACTGACTAATAGGATATAATAAAACACATGCTAACACGCAGTGGGTGAAGAAGTGCATTGTGACCTTTGGTTAAAGCTGCACCTTTTTAATGTATGAACAGCTTGGTTAATGGTTTGATACACAAGAAAACACGCTGCGTTAAAGGGGATATAACTGTGTTTTTAATTGCTAAAGGCTCTGTTTTTCAGCTGTGCATTGGATGTTTTATGTTTACAAGATATCTTTTCGTGTCCTGAAATGTCGGTTCTTTAGTTTGTGGGTGTGGGGGGAAAATTTAGTTTGAATAAGACAAAAAGCAGACCCTGTGAATATTGTATGGGGAAATAAAAAAATTAATATATGAATGTGGTCTTACTGTTTTGTTTGCGTATGAGATTGAGGAACATTATTCTTCAAAAAAGCTTTGAAGCGTAATATGAGTAGCCAACTTACGTTTTAACACATTACAGTTAATTTACCCCCGACACTTGATCATTGCTCCTATTGCTGTACATCACAAAGTGTACAGGTTCACTGCTGTTAGTAATCAGCTGTGCTTAGCAAGATATGTGGTGGTTACTGGCTCTTTGCTCAGCATGTCTGTAATGCAGGCAGTAATATTCATAAATCTCTTCATTTTGGGAGTAGAATTCAAAGTATTTAACTGAAGGTGTCAGGAGTTACTTGGGACTTACTGCATCCTTTCAAATTCATTCTGTAGATACAAAATTATGGGGGGATCTGGAAAGGTGCCTCCARTTAGTGCTGTCCAATTATGAAGTAYAAACTTCACATTAATAGTAACCAATTGTGTGATTTGTGGTGTTTTCTATTATGTTGCTGGGTTTAAAGAACAGATATGATAGGCATCATTGTTTTGTGTGGACACCTTCCAAAATTACTCTTCTTGCTAAGTCAGTTGCTGTATATTAAAAAAAATTCAAGACTATGCAGTAGTTGGATTAAGAAAAGCTTTTCTCAAGTGCTCTTTCAGTGGTGCTAACTGTTATGGTCAAGTAATTGTCTGGGGCTGTTATAGGTGCATGGCACCCAGGATTTTAAAGTAACTTAAGTTGTGGTCTGAAGCGCTTTTTCCACTGAAAGTTCATAATCCTACCCCGAAAAAAAAGAAATTAGACAAAGTGAAAGATGAGTTAGTGAATCAAGTCAAATGCACGATGATGATGAAGGCTTTTATCAAGGAGGAAGTAAACCTGTGCTCTGAACTGCTACAAATTTAAACAATTCCCAGACTCCCAGGCTACCAGAGAGCGCAAATGCATCAGCAGTACCACAGTCGCCTCCTTCAGGAGTGAGATGTAACCAAGAGTTTAACACAGGCCCTAAATGAAATGGATGCAAAGTCTCTCTCACATTCTTCCCCTTGACTTGCATAATCAAGTTCCAGGAAAACAAGGTTATGTTATGTGCATACTGAGGGTGCTACTGATTTTGATAGTGAAGTGCTGTGAGACATAAGGGAAAACGGTAACTCAGCTTAGTTTAGTAAAAACTCTGGTTACCTGGCAGTAGCAGCTCTCAAAAGTTCATTTTTTGTGTTAAAAAGTCTATGTTGCACTCCACAGGGCAAGATGTTACATTAACGTGAGGTGGTTTTACTTTGCAACACTACTAAGCTGATTGATTGGACTCACTCACACTTTCTCTCCTACCTGCTGACAAGAATCAACATAAAAATGCAAATGACAAGGTCCGTATTAATTGTGTGGAAGACATTTTTAAGCAAGTGGACTGCCATGTATGTCCATATTTTATGTTTCTTATTACAGTCTGCTTTGCTGGTGAACTAACAGGAAAGGGAGTGACTTGGGTTGTGCTGTCATTTTGTTGCCAGCCTCCTGTTTTCAGGATAGAAAGTCCTCAAATGAGTCATCTGTACTTGGTTTTACCATAGTAGCAACAAATCTTGACAGGAGCACCACATTCCCTAATTACATTGGTTATAATTGTGTGTTTGGTTATCAGTATCTGAAGTCTCACTGTGAGGCATTGTCCAGCTCAGAATGCAGCATATGAGAGGTAAAAAACAGCATGCCATCCTTCAATGCATGTTTAGGTGCACAGTCCATAGCTGAATGTATTTTTTGTGTGTTCCCACAAGAAGGAACATTATAAGTGACGTGCAGATGTAAATGACAGAATATGGTCAGTTACCAGGTTCATATCTGAGAGGTCTCCAGTTGCTGGAGTATTCCTGGATGAAGCAAAAATGTTTTTGTTAGGGGTGGTTTCTATGCATATCTTGGACATTGTTTCCTAAATTTATATACAGGGATTTTCCTGTCACCAGGGACAGCAGATTTGTTCAGACYTTGCTGTAAATGAATATTCTTTATAAATTACCAAGAAGAAAGCATATTGATATATTTGATGTGCAGGGTATGAAGAACTAAGAGAAGCATTTTTCTCCTGGAAGAAATCAAACAGGAAGGAAAAGTGTTTGGGAAGGTTAATGTATTGATATGAAACAAGAGCTTTTTTAACATGGCACTGTCTTTTGCTCTAGTGTTTGGAGAATATAGTACCACTGGCTGTCAAGAAAGTACCTCAACAGAGACAGAAAGAGGGGTAAGAGGTAGAAAAAAGTGAGGGGAAAAAAGGAGGAAGAGTTAGGGAGTAAGAAGAGAAAGGAAAGGAGAGGGCAGAGGGGACAAAGTGGAGAAAGGAGCCCATGTGCTGGTTTTGGAAGGCTTGAGGAGTGCCCAGCTTGCTCCCTGTGGGCAAGAGATGCTCCCTCTCCTGGGTTGCTGGTGGCCTTTGGTGGCTGCTACTCCCAGTACAGATTCACAGCTCAATCTGCAAACAGCAGCTGAAAATCAYACTAGAATCAACTCTTCTAATGCACATTGGCACATATGTAATGAGGAAATTAATTAAAATTGCTCTAGGGAAACTTAGAAGAAATGTGTCAAAGGGCAGGGGAAAACTGGAAGAATGTGTGGCTGCTACAGGGAGGGAATGTGAAGAATAGAGAATGGTAACAACCTGAGGGTGCTCTCTCCTGTGAAATACTCTGCCTCACCTGAAACCAGCCTTTAGTCCTCTGATGCAAACGAACAGTAACTGCATTTCTGTGACAGTGATTGTCCTAAACTACTGAGTTGAAGTAGTCAGCTGCCCCACCAATTCTGCATGTCCCTTTCATTCACAAAGATGCCTAAGACATTAAAGACCTCACTTATTACCACACCACACTTGCTCTTCTCTGGAACAAAAACCACCAGAATCCAAAAATTCACAAAGCAGAAAATGAGTCTATATTTCATGACTTGCACAAATGCTTAGGCCAAGCTCCTAGTGAGTTACACCTCATTTAGTAGAATTGTGCTGCAAATGGAATTTTCACCCTCTTGCAAGTCTCACCTTAAAAAGAAATTGCTTGAATTTTAAAATGCAATTAAGATCTTCACAAACATTGGAAAATAATAGTTTTAGGCAAATTATGTGTCAGTCTAAATATTGCAGTTTCATTTCAGTTATAGACTTCTATGATTTACAATACATTGGAACAGAGCACATGACAGGATTTCTGAAACATTTCTTTCCTCCATATTACTATACTTTCCTACAAAAATACTCCAAACCAAAATCTTCCCCTTACCCCAAAACACCAAGAGTTGAAAGCTGAACCAGGTTATTCACTGGAAGGTAATCAGAAGTGCCAATATTGGAGTGTCTTGCTGTATTGTGAGAATTTCAATATCTGAAATGACCACAGAAACAATATTTCTGCCTGTCATTCCATTTACTGGCAAAGCAAACACGGCATTGTAGTAAGGAGCTCCCTGCTTGGTGAATGCAAACTGTAACTTGACACTCTCACTGTATTTGGATGTTTGGATAGGGAAAGCTCTTAAGGGCTTTTCCCCTATTCAAATAGTGATAATGATAAACCCCTTCATCTTTGTCATAGTAGTGCATACTGATACAGCTCAAATTCTCAATAAGCTTAGACCAAAAGCAGTTCTGAAGTCATAACAAAAGCCCCAGGAGAATGAGGCTAGCCTGGTACTTGGGCCACCTGGATGTGCCTTCTCTTCTTGAGGCCCTAAACCCTCCCCAGGAGATCGATGCATTTCATAGCACACAGAACTATSCACTTCCACTGAACTCCTAGGAATGTGGCAAGATAAAAACAGGGATCATTTGGATCATTAAACAATATCTCCTTCAGATGCATGAGCCATGGAATGAGCATTTATGCAGGAAGGGGTCAAAGAACATCCTCCAGCCAGTACAGCCTTGAGCACTCAGTAGCAAGCAAATGGCCTGTCATTAAAATACAAGTACACAAGTCTTAATGAAGATTCCCAGACAAGATTCCACAGGAAGATATAAATACCAATCCTGAATAATAAAGTGGGCTTAGTCAGCTTAGTCTGGCTTTTGCAAGCTTGACATATCCATCTTGACTTACTCCTACCTACTTCCACACATACTTTCAACCTTTTTGCTGCTGTCCTTCACAACCTTCGCATCACCCAGATGTGAACACCCAGATGGTGTTACAAGACGGGCAAAAGAAACAGATGAATTTGAATGGGCATTTCCTCTTCACACCTGAATCTGAGTAGTTCGGTACCCTGGGGACATCTTTATACTATCTAGACCAATAAACAAAACTCCCTGCGCTCTACCAGGCATTCTGAGTAAAGACAAGATTCCATAGTTCTTATGTAGCTCTGACTTTGAGTTCCATGTGTGTATCCTTGCCCTTTCCCCTCAGAACAGGTGTAGACATTGAAGTCTACAGTCATACAAACCCACAGTGCCCTCACTTTTCCCTGCCCTGTGGCTGGGCTGTAAGACTTCTGCTGTGAGATTATTGCCCTGCAYTTAGAACCCAAAAGAAAGATGATGTGTTTCCATGTCATCAGGCTAAAAGAGAGGGCCTTTAGTATCATTCTAGAAAGGACAACGAACAGGTCAGTCTGGCAGGGGTTTTTTAGAGTGGCTGAGCAGGTGGAGAACACAAGGAAGTTCAGGCAGTGTTGAGGCTGCAAGGCCAGATCTTTCCCAAACCCAGGCAGAGGTAAAGGATGGTAACTGAGCAGCACTGGGAATAACACACAGGCAACCGCTGTGGCTGTTTGCACCGGGAAAGGTGCGAGGCTGAAGGGACAGGACAAGAGAACTAAAATTAACTGAATTAGCAGAACTACAGAAGTAAAATTAACTGAATTACCAGAACTACAGGAGTTCAGTCAACACAACCTTTCCCCAGATGGCTCGCTCAGGCACACAAGAAGGCAGAGATCCCGCCAGTCCCCCGACAGCACACAGAGCGACTCTCTGAGAGCGGGATTCACTCGGGGCGGGGCGCGGTGCCGGGCCGGCCCTTCCCGTCTGTGGGCGGCGGCAGCGGCGGCGATTGGCCCCGTTCGTTTCCGACATGGCGGCCAGCGCGGTGTCCAACCCGTCCCAGCTCCTGCCGCTCGGTAAGGAGGGGGCACTCCCGCGGATCCCACCCAGCGGGCCCGGCCCAGGTCCCTCTCGGGCGGGCAGAGGCGGTGTGGATCCCTCTGGGTGGTGCGGGCCGYGCCGGCGCATGGCGGGAACCGTGAGGGCGGGAGCGCTCGCCTCAGGCGGCCGGGCCCACGGGCCCCGGGAGGATATTGGGGATGGGGGAGAGGGGAAAAGCGGGGAGGAGGAGGAGGAGGGGTATTGTGGATGGAAGGCAGTGAGGTGCGCTGTGGGAGACTGAGGGAGGCCTGTGTTGGAGGAGTTGTAAGAATGTTGAGAGGAGGGCTTGTTTCTTTGGGAGAATGGGGGGGATTGTGTGTAAGGGTGTTTGGGTAAGGGGTTTTGTGAGGTGTGTCTCTGTAAGTAAAACCAAAAAACAACTTGTAAACACAAGAGACTTGTTTTACAGAACGTGTGCTTTCTTGTGTATATACAGAGCTTGTGGACAAATGCATAGGTTCACGCATTCACATCGTCATGAAGAGCGACAAAGAAATTGTTGGGACACTTCTAGGATTTGATGACTTTGTCAGTATCCTTTGATGGAAGATTAAGGCTGCTTTATGCTTTGGTCTAATTAATTTATTGTCCTTGAGAGTTTTGAGTTCACTGAAGGGTACCTTTTTATATGGATCAGTTGTATTCTGATAWTTTCAACTTTCAGGTAAAATCCTATTTGGTGTGAAATGAAAATAGCACTAAATATTTTTGTTTTAAAATGATGGGCTTTATTTTCCTTGAAACTGGGTTTTCAGATATGGTGTTGGAAGACGTTACAGAATTGTAAGTATTTTTTCTGTCTCTTGTTGCTATTTACTGTTTGGTTCACTGAGGTAAAATACTGTGTAACATCTGCTAGCAAAATGTTTTAATGTTTTTTTAATACYTGCCAGTTTATCCTTGGACGCAAAATTATAGAGGGCAGTCTGTTCAGCACATCTATAGCTATATAGAGTAGCTATTGCATGATTTATATTTGTATGGGGATCCTGGTTTGTAGTCTTCATTTTGCATGGGTTGTGTGGTGACCTTTACAGCAGTTTGTTTGCTTTTCTACTTCCTTAAGGCCTAGGCAAAGATTCAATAAAGTAGCGGACTTAAGGATAAATATTTTTACTTTGTCATGGCATGTTGATATGTTGTATTCAAGAAATTGCCAAGCTATGGAGGGTGAATACTTCTCCATGTACTGAGTAGAAGAGATATTTTTAGATGCTGGTTGGATTTCTATACCCAGGCAGTCCATTGTTCAAGATTGKGCTGCAGTGTGGCTGATTTATTTGTTAGTTCCAGCAATGGTTACCTTWACACAGAGATTTCTGTCAGTTCTGTGATCAAAACTGGAGCCCATTGTCCCTGGTTCTGTGTTCTCACTTACTGTTTCTAATGCTCCTTCAGTGAGATCACACCTGAGGGCAGAAGAATCACAAAGCTGGACCAGATTCTGCTAAATGGAAATAACATAACAATGGTAAGTTATCAAAGGCTGCATGTGTTGATTTTTAGTACCCATAAATTGATCAGTGATTGTATTCAATTACATTTAAGATGACAGTTTAATTTTTCCTGACAGTTCCATTACWTCAGGAACTTTCAAGTAGCGTCTAGGGCATCTGTATATATGAATGATGCTGGAAATTGACCTTACTGCTTTACTCAGTATATATGTTGCATTTTACAAAACAATAATTAAATTAAATTTTTGGTGAATGTTTTTCTGGTCTTTAAGTGTTCAAGGGAGTCACTGACCTTGTAAGAATCATAAAATCACTAAGGTTGAAAAGACATCTCCAAGATCAGAGTCCGACTCTTGACCAGACACCACGATGCCAGCTAAGCCATAGCACTAAATGCCACATCCAGTAATTTCTTGAACAATTCCAGGGATGGTGTTTCCACCACTTCCCTGAGCAGTCTATTCCAATGCCTGAGTACCCCTTCAGTGAAGAAATTCTTCCTGATGTGCAGGCTGAACCTTCCCTGGCACAGTTGGAAGAAGTTTCCTCTTGTCCTGTCACTGGTTGCCTGGGAGAAGAGGCCCATACTTTGCTACAACCTCCTTTTAACCAGTCTTAGGCTGGGTCTTCAGTGACTTTTAACTCCTGAATATTTGCCTGTGTACACAGGCCAAACACACCTGCATTCCTGCATGTACAAATGTGTCTATAGCAGTGTGGATGCTGACTGACTCATGGAGTCATTTGGTGATTACAAAACCACATGGTGCCCAGAGAGCTGCACCTTTATGTATCTTGCCAAAAAATCTGGAGGTCTGTTGGATYATACCAAATCAGAAGCACCAGGATTTTGTCATGTGCTGGTAWGTGCAGATCAGTACTCAAAACAGTAATTAAACGTTGTGATGCATCATTGAGTTGAATTCTGCAATTTMTTAGACACCACAAAAGCAGACCTGCCGTGGTTTTTTTTGCTTGTCTGCATAGCTGGCCACAAAGCCTAGACTTCCAATGCAAGGACATTCCTAATTTAGTGGGAAGAGGAAGGCTGATTTGAGTCTAAATGGACTCAGTGGGTATGAATGAGGAATTATATCCATTTTGTAGTTTTACCTACCTTGCACCTCTGCACTGTGTGTCTGAGCAAGTGCTATCCTGTCTTAATTTCTAAGCCTTTTTCTGCTTTGGTTATTGTTTCATATGCTTAAAGGACAGCATATGTTCTGATTCCTTGTATGGGGTGAAATTCCTACCATCCAGTTAAKCTGGTGGTGTGTTGCCCTTGAAGAAGAACCTGATAAATCTTGGAGTACAAATTTTCAGCAAGACCTGGATATGTTTCTGCGTTAGACCTTGTGTCTCTTTTGGGGATGCATCTTCCTGCATCAGGAAGTCTATGCTTTGGACTTTTTCTTATTTTAGTCCCAAAACCARTGACGCTCTTTCTCTGTAGAAATGCACAGCTGATTGTGATGAGGATATCAGTAAAAGGAATAGTTATCCCTTTTATTCCTCTCATGTTTTCCCTTTTGTGTTTCTTTTTCTATTGCTCAGTTCTTTGTTTTCTTCAAAAGGAAATGCTTTGCTGATCTACTCCCTGCTGCCTTTTTGATAAGGCATCTCTGACAATAACTGACTTTCTCTGCTGAGAGAGTCTAAAAGCCACTTCTGTGGTCTACCATGGAGTCTCCACGTCCTAAAATGTTTGTTGTAAAGGAAGAGCTGTTGTATGTGGTTTGTAGAACTCAACTTATGGCACTAATATAAAAATGTTTTACTCTTTTGTAGCTGGTTCCTGGAGGAGAAGGACCTGAAGTATGAAGACATGATGTTCATTTCATATATATATATATATTATATATATATGCAAAATCTAAATGGAGATTTTGGGGTAGAGGCGTGTTTTGATGTGGGTTGTTCATTTGCTTTGTTTACACACTTTACATTTTACAAGAGACAACTCTTTAGGAAGGATGCTGATGATAACATTGACTTTGTAAGCTGAAATCATGACTTTCTTGTAAAGACATATGAACCTCTTCTGAATAAAAGGCTTTTTCTTTGTTAGTTACTGTGTCCTGTTATGTAAGTACACAAGTTAGATAATTTTATAACTTCTTGATGTCWTAGAAAAATAACAGTTATGTTTCAGTTATCATCAGTCTTCAGTTTCCCTGCACGTGTTGCATTTGTTTCTGGCCCAAGTCTGTATAATACACAAGTCACAAGGCAGGAGATTGCTGTTCTTTGGCACCCAGATACTGAGATGGATGTTTTGTTTAAATGCTGCTTCAGGCTGTGCACTGGAAACCATTTGTCAGAGTTCTGTAGAGAAGCCCTTCAGATTGGGTGCATGTGTTTGATGCTCAGCAGACTTTTTTTCTGCTGGCCTTGAGGTTCAGCTCTTGTGGACTATTTTGTTTAGCAGATATACTTCCTTAGAGTAGAGGCCCTGTAGTGGCATTTGGCAAGCAAGAACAGACGAACCAGACTTAGTTCATGTTCAAGAGGTAAAAATCCCAAAGACTGGTGTTAAAACTTGTCACTGATGTCAGTGGTGACTCTGCTTTGACCACTCAATGTTGCTGTGTATACTCAAATAGGGAGCCGCCGGTGCYTGCTTGCATAGCTTGGAACACTCATTTTAGAGTAAGTGGGTTTTTGGCTCCATCTGTTCTCCTGTGATAAAAAGAGCTTGACAGATATTGYGAGCTACTATTTCTGGACAATTTCTGCAAGGAATTGCTGTTTTGTGATGTCATGCTGCCAATGCAGCTTGTCCTTCCATAGTACACCTCTCAGTTATGTGTAAATGTCTTTGGAGAGGAATCACAGGTGCCAGCTGTCACTGTAGACAAGGAGAGTGCAGCACAGGCTCACATTCATGGGACATGCTTTGCCTTGCCATCACCAGAAGAAAGAGGAGTTGAAGCAGGGGCTTAGGAGCAAGATGCTTCAAGGAAGCTCCTGTACTGGATCTTTCTGTCTTGCTTAATCTGACAAAAGCTGCTTTCTGCTAGCTGGGTCTAACAAAGCAGGGAGAGCATTAAAGGGAGCAGGGGACCCTCCCCTCCCAAGGAGTGTACGGCTTCTGGCTTCTGTGTTCTGAATAAACTATCTGCAATTACAGTGTTTAGATTGTGTCATGGCAATCTATACCATTTAGTCCTGAACATGTTTGGGTTTTTTTGTAATCTCCATTTCCCACACCAGCTTTTTTTAAGTACATTTGAAAAAGATAATTTTTTAAAAACTTATATTTGATTGAAGCATCTTCTGTGGGTGTTTGTCTCAAACACTTTCCTAGAAATGGGTTAATTCTTTTCACAAGAACATTGAAAGATTTCAAGTCAGGGGAGCACTACTGTGTTGGAGTATTTTTTAATAAAATTATGTTTTCATTCCAGTCTGTGCACTTAATTTCTACTCCACTCAGTATTTTGAAAACAGTCATGCTTCTGAGTAAAGGAGGACAGATTTCTACTCAAAAGCAACTTCTACTCTGACAGCACAAACATCTTCTTGTCTCAGGATTTTGTKACCTTGAGAAAAACCAAACAATTTGATTTTGTCTCAGTTGCTGGTTGACTGGTTCTCACTCCAGAAGAAGTGTTAGGGTTTATCTTTTAGGAAGATATTTTGATTCACAATTCACAGGTCTGCAGAGATCCCTCTAAAGACAGTCTGTGCATGCAAACACTGTTAGTCCTTTCTAAGATTAAACACTTTTTCACTTTCAGMTGAGAATATGAAGTATTCCAGGTGGATTTGGTTTGTTTTGCATTCATTATTCCTGCAGCTTTTGTTTTGGAAGTCCAGCTAATAAACTTGTTGGTTTAATAAGTATGTGCTGGTGGATTTTGTTCTTCCTCCCCTAGAAGTCCAAATGCTTAATCCTACTACACTGTCTTGTGGACAYTGGTGTTCTCTGGAATACTATTTAGGGTGCCGCCACATGTAGGTAATTTAAAATAACCCTTTAAGAAGATAGAAAACTGAGGCTTAAAGTTTAGAGCAAGGTAGTCGTCAGRTTAAAATAACTTTGTGGTTATGAATACACAGTGGTGGTTCTATTCAGATTTATGTACMTTTTGCTTTCTGTTCTTTAGGATAGTACTGGTTGCACTAATCCCTCATTCTGGTTCCTGGCTATCTTAGTGTGGAGGAAGTTCCCTTCTGCCTACTATTTGAACATACTTGTTCACTTTGGGGGAAAATATCCTCTGTGTAACCTCAGTGAAATTATTAAAATTACTCCTGTCATTCCCAGATCACTGGTAATTCTTAACACAGCCAGCGCTTCCAAGGAGTATAATTGTAATTGACCAATCTCATCACTAGTGTGCCATTGTGCAGGTGTAGCAGTAGTTTGGTCAATTGAACTACAGTCAGACACAATGTAAGCAGAGAACACTAGATTTATTTCAGTTTCAATTCCAATGAATCTGACCTCGAAGCAGTTGATATACAGAGYCAGCAAATATTTTCAGGAGCTTGCTTTAACATTTTCAAACTACCATAATGAACAGGAATCAAAATTCTGCTTTATTTTGATTGATGGTGCATTAATGCTGGGCCACACTTTTGCTTTCTGCTGAAAGAGAGGATGGATTTGAATTAATCATTTATCAACTGATTCTGCAGCTTGATGCCATTTTCATGAGAACACTGTTTGTTAATTAAACTGTTAGAAACAAAATCAGGGATTCAAAATCCATGCCATTTAATTTCAGAGGTCTTTGCTTACGTTTGTACAATGYATTGCATAACTCTTCATTTTCTGCAAAACCTAATGTGTCTTTCATGGCTTTTTTCTATAAACTTTTATAAGCTCACATTCTCTTGAAGCGTCCTCCTAGAAGCTTGAAAAAAAGCATTCAAATTAAGTATTTGCTGCTCTAATGGGAAAACAGTTACAAGAAAACACAAAAATATACCTGTTTAATCCATTATGAAGAAATACTTCAAGCAGACTGAATATGGTCTCCATACATCAATTACTTAATACAATTTGTTAGCCATTTTCTTTCTTCTGTTTATAATGCATTTTATCAAAATTAAAAAATACCTGTTTTATGGAAAAAATGGCACTGTAGTTTCATTCCAGTTAATGMGTTCTTAATATCCAGAATAACCTTTTAAAATCAAATTCAAACCTGTAAATATTAGTCTTTTTCTCTCTGTTCTTGCTTGCTCCTTCTAGTGGATCCTCATATTTTGTTTTCAAGATTGATTAAAAAGAGTGGCCCTCAGCACCAGCAAAGTGCTTGGGCAAGTCCTGCTGTCACCTGCACTCCCCTGGCATTCCGTTTGGTGAAGAACTTGACATGGCAGCAGCCCCTGTACAGAAGAGGAAAACACAGATTATAAGTGTTTATAAATAAGCAGTTAAAATRTTTTTTCGTTCAGTAAGCACTGGTATGTTGTTGTGATTTAGGAATGTTACTCCCCAGTTCAATGCCGTGACTGAGGCTCTTCCCAAACTGTGCATTGTTTTTAAYAGTCCATTATACTGTTCAGTTCCCAGAGGCTGGTGCATGATAAGGAATATGATAACCACCCAATACTATGCTCTCTGGYGCAGGGCTCTATGAAGCTATTTTTAAAACGGATCCCATTGTCTGATTCAACTGTTTCTGGGGTGCCATGTCACCACAGGGCTTGCTTTGCAAGGCCCAAGATGGTGTTCCAGGCWCCGGGATGAGGCACAGGRTACATCTCCAACCATCCAGTGGTTGCTTCTACCAGTCAGCACGTAGCACTTACCTTGGTGGGTTTGTGGTAGTGCAGTGTTATCAGCCAGACCTCCCCATATGTGTAATTTGACTATTGTTCCCCATATSCACTCRGCCTGCTTGATTGCAGTGCATGTTTCACAGTTAAAGATAAGCTGTTAMGTAGTGTCCATGGTTAAATCCCCCTTGACCATGAGTCCATCTGTAATGTTGCATCTGTTCCCTGAGGTGTCAAGGGCCCACGGAGCCAGAAATAATTCACCCTTTTTTTGTTTTTGATTTTTTTTTTTAAAGCAAGCATGAACACACTTCTAACAACATTAATCTCCCTAATGATGATCCAACTCTTGTTAAAATCTTAACAGTAACATGACATGCAATTTAGCCCTTTAAAAGTAGATTTTATTTCTTAGATTTTAATTCAGTACTTACTTTCCTGCTCTTTTTTTTTCTTTAAGCGCTTTCTCCGGTCAATGGCAGCCAACTCAGCTTTCAAAAACAGGTAACGTTTCCGGATTTCCTGCATTTTTGCTTGGAGAATTGTTATGCGCTCGGTGCTACTCAAATTTTGCAAGTCAGCTGCAAATTAAACCATTTTTGTTAATTAGTGCATTGCAGCATTTCCCAAGCCGTCTGAATTTGACAAAGCGGGAGGTACTCAAATCTTAATGATGTGCTTTGAGGTAGCAGGCAGAAAAGCTGAGAAACACAGCAACAGGAGCTGCTGTTTCTTATCACAGTCTTGACTGACACAAACACACCGAAATTCCTTCTTATAAGAAATATTAAACATATCCCAGTGAATTAAAGCAAAATGGAAGGGGAAAATTTAAAAATCAGTAATCTAAGAGGATGAACAAGAAACAGAGAATGAGGAGTAAAAACAGCAAGAAAGAAAAATTACCAGGATTTATGACAAAATTAAGTAAACTGAGGATGGAGTGATTTTAGAGGGAAAAAACCCTCAAAACCAGAAAATTCTGAAAGCCTTTTTATAGTATATGGCAAGACCACATGAGGCATGCTTCAAAGAAGATACTTACACACTTGAAAACCCCATTTGCAAACTTTGGGCGAATGATTACCGTGTTCTTTTGGATCAGACTCCCTCTCTCCACTTTGCCCACATTTTCCTGTGGGAAGGTAGATTGTTACAAAACAAAGCAACCTTCCCACCCTGCCCGAAGCTTACCAGGAGCTGTCTCGCTCTAGCATGACAGAATCCATCCTGGTGCACTAGCTTGGCACACAGCTCTCTGCGCCACTGGTGCCCAGGTACAGGACCACAAACCAGGTCTGTAATGGGGCCTCTCTAATTCTGGCATGCWGGGA